GAGAGGTTGGAGTGGGTGAGAGGGGTGGAGAGGTTGAGGCGATTGATGTCTCGACGGCAGTTGGAGATGAAGAGGTCGAGGGAGGGTAGGAGGCCTTGGGGTGGTGTCCAGGAGGAGGGGGTGTGTTGGAAGCGGGAGAAGGGGTCAGTAGAGGGAGGGTTAGGTTCACGGTTAAAGAAGTAAGCGTGGAGGCGGAGGCGGCGGAAAAACTGCTCTATGTCCAAGCGTGAGCGATATTCGTTGATGTGTGGGTGGAGGGGGACAAAGGTGAGCCCTTTACTGAGGACTGACCGTTCGTCCTCAGTAAGGGGTAGGTCTGGGGGGATGGTGAAGACTCGGCAGGGCTGGGTGCTGCATAAGAGTGGAAGTAGGCCATTCAGGCGATTGGGCCTTCTTAATTATTTAATCTGATTTTTGACTGATCAAACTCTTTTAATGCCTTTTACCTACACTACCCACATAACAGTTTATGCTATCAGTAATCAGAAATCCACCAGTCTGTACTTTAAACATTCAGTGACTGAGCTTCCACACCCCTCTGGGCTAGAGAAATCCCAATATTCACAGCTGACTAACAAGATTTCTCCTGATCTTGGCTCTAAATAACATTCCCCCTATTTTTAAATTGTGTCCCAGTTCTAGATTCCTTGTCTAAGGAAAATGTCTTACCAGCATTCACCCTGTCTATCCCTTTGTGTACTCAGCATACTAGGCACAATTTGTGGACAGAAACATTTAATATTACTTTTAACTTTAATATTAGAATTTTTGTCTATCAACAGATGCTGCAGAGTGTTTCCAGCAGTTTTTGTTTAGGTTTTTCACCATCCACAGGGATCTGTTTTGGTGTTAATCCTATTGTTCCTGACTATTTTTAATCTGGACGAAACTTGCATATATCACTTCTCTGCTGTGTTCACTCTATCTGTTTTCAAGAGAGTGGCCACAAGGATCGGTGCTGGGTCCACTGCTTTTTGTCATTGATATACATGATTTGAATGTGAATATAGGAGGTATGGTTACTAAGTCTGCAGTGACACCAAAATTGGAGGTGTAGTGCACAGCGAAGAAGGTTACCTGGGTACGTCGGGACCTTGATCAGATGGGCTGAGGAGTGGCAGCTGGAGTTTAATTTGGATAAATGTGAGGTGCTGTATTTTGGAAAGGCAAATCAGGGCAGGACTTGTATACTTAATGCTAATGTCCTGGGGAGTGTTGCTGAACAAAGAGACCTTGGAGTGCAAGTTCATGGTTCCTTGAAAGTGGAGTTGCAGGTAGGTAGGATGGTGAAAATGGTGTTTGCTGTGCTTGCCGTCATGGGTCAGTGCATTGAGTAGAGGAGATGGGAGGTCATGTTGCGGCTGTACAGGACATTGATTAGGCCGCTTTTGGAATACTGCGTTCCATTCTGGTGTCCCTGCTATAGGAAGGATATTGTGAAACTTGAGTGTTCAGAAAAGATTTACAAGGACATTGCCAGGTTGGAGGGTTTGAGCTATAGGGAGAGGCTGAAAAGTCTGAAGCTATTTTCCTTGGAGTGTTGGAGGCTGAGGGGTGACCTTGTAGAAGTTTGTAAAATCATGAGGGGCATGGATAGAGTGAATAGCCACAGTCTTTTTCCCAGGGTAGGGGAGTCCAAAACTAGAGGGCATAGGTTTAAGGTGAGAGAGGCAACTTTCTCATGCACAGGGTGGTGCATGTATGGAAATAAGCTGCCAGAGAAAGTGGTGGAGGCTGTTATAATAACCACATTTAAAAGGCATATGAATGGTTCTATGAATAGGAAGGGTTTAGAGGGATGTGGAACAAATGCTGACAAATGGGACTAGATTAATTTAGGATATCTATTTGGCGTGGACGAGTTGGACCAGAGGGTCTGTTTCCATGCTGTACATGGAACTATGACTCGGGCTAATTCCTCATTTAATTTCTTGCTTTTGTTTGCCCAGTAAATACACTACAGCTGTATCGGGCTGCTATGTGTGTATGGTTCCAATCTTGATCCGTTGGTTGCGTTGAGATAGTTGGTCTTTGCTTTGGTAGTAAGAAGGGTCTGACCCTTTGGGTTAGAATGCCTGCTCCTGATTCATACTCCTGATTGTTGTACAATGATTCTTCATCCCTAACCCCCACCAAAATCATCAAGATGGCTATGAGACAGTTCAAACTGTCATGTAGAAGCTAGACTTAGTGATGTCTCTAGAATATTTCTCCTTTAAGCCGATGGACATGCTTCGCACTTCACTGTGTTCTTTGTATTCTGGTTGCTACACATGGGGATGTATGAAAACGTGCTTTGGAATCTTTGCTGTTAATTGAGTTGCATTTCATTAATTCCCTCCTGGGTTTTTTTTTTGGTCAGATGGATGTATTCCAGGTAGAATGAATGAAAAGAAATTGCTATATTTATCTGCAATGTAAATAACACCTTTTGTGGGAACTAATGGAAATGGAAACCCAAGTGTTTAATGTTTATGAAATGCAATCTTGAAGCCCAGGCATTCTGATGTAAACCTCTTTATTATTCAAAGCTGCCTGACTGTCAGCGTTTTTCTAACTGGTATCAATAGTTTTCCCCAAATTTGAGATTAACCTGAGAAAATTGCAGTGACATTCCTTTTCTTTGAGGAGATGATATTTTTCAGAGTTTCTAGTCTCTCATTGTTGTCTCTCTCATTCATATGTAAATAAACTGTGCCATCTGCTCCTGCTGCCTGACTTTGCAGTCCCAGAATGAGAACTGGTTAAATGAACTGTATAAATAGTGATATTTGGATCCCTCCTTGTGTAAGACCATTGAAAGATGACATATAGAAGCCTTTGACTTTAGGATTTTTGAGTTTCCTTGCCATGCAGTTCATTGAAGCTTGGAGAGGCAGAGTGCAGGGGGAGGTGAAGTCAAGACTCATTTTTTTTTCTGCTCTCCTCTCTCTATCAGATTTGAGTCAATTAAACATTTTCTAGGGAGGGGAATCTTGCTTTTGGTTTTTTTTAATACACACAGCTGTTTTCCCTGATTCTGGGATCCACACATTGCTGAGAAAGACCAGCTGGAGGGGTAATTTACATATGAATTGAGACATTAACAATGAGCAACACAAAGTTTGAGAATTGCATTGAAATCTTTACAGACAGTCTTGCATTGGAAAACGCAGTAAATGAGAATCCTGTTTTAAGTCAGGGTAAATTCTTAAATGCAGATAAATTTGGGGATCATGTCAAGAGATTTGATGCAGCTATTCATTGACCTGGATGCACTTGAAATTAACTGTGTTAAAGTCAAGTCTTGATGCACTCATTCTTTCCTGGCAATTGTAAACCTCCCAACTTTCTACTCCCTTCTGTTGTCCTTGAGTTTGTAACTTGCAAAACCTAATAACTGCCTCCAATTTTATCTTTCCTTATATTTGCAGGATGCCCTGAGGAACACACTGGTGGTCACTGAAATTGTGATGTGGTTTTACATTGGCGAGGTCATTGGTCGACGAAGCTTGATTGGATATAAAGTCTGAACTATGCTCTGTGTTGAACCAGCATTCCATTGTAAATGAATGAATAATATTTCAAATTAAATAAAACCATTATTAGGACTTCAAACACTTTAGTACTGCCTTTTATTTCATGCATTACACATTAGTGAATCATTTTTATTTTTGTCAAGATGAATGTTATCTATGCCAGGATGTGTTTCAACTTCTGGTACTTGCTGTCAGATTGGCACTATTGGATGAGACACAGCAAAGCTGCCCTTATTTCCCTTTAGCTACATCAAAAATCTAACTTGAGTGTTTGCACCCAATACTACACTATTATGATTCCTAAAGCAATTTTTTTCTTTGAGATTGCTTCAAATATTGGCAGTTCTGCCCTAGATTCTCTTGGGATTGGCTTGAGGCTTTCAGGCATGTTTCACATGGCCAGTATATAAAAAGTATATATTTTTAAATTTGATCATCCAGGTTTGAAATCCAATTCTAGTCTCAATCTCAGTAGTTGTCTGAATTTTTAAGCCTCTAATTTGTTACTAAAGACTGCAGACCAGGGGTGCAAATAATGATGGCACACAATGAATTGCTGGACTTTGTTAATACAATGATTATTTACCTTCAGGTAATACCTGGTCCCAGTTTCTGATATGTTGCTGTGTCAAAAATAAGTTTCATTATTCCTTTACTATTATGAGGAATATAGATAGATTATGTAAATGTAATCTGTATAAATTTATACATCTAATTGTGCTGTTTGGAAGTTCTAGGAGTGGAAAGGAAATTTGAACACACATTATCTTTGCACCCTCTGCTGGGCGATTTTAACTGGAGTTGCTGAGAGACCAGGTAAGGATGCTTGTTTTGAGTTTGTTTGGACTGGGATGAAAATGTTCAATCTCATTCTATAACTGAGTTGCTGGAAGTGCCTCATGAAATGGTATGTTAATTTCCTAACTGCTTTGATTTTTGATTTTTAATTTTGCCGGATGGGTGGAACTATCATTATTCACAACTACTTTGATCTTTTGGGGTGGGAGAGTGTTGTGGGTGTCAGATGAAAGAGAATTTGTCAGAGTGAGGTAAGAATATTTCTCGCTGAGCCATGTGCATCCTGAGGCTGAGCACCAGTGAATTTCTCTTTCTTTTGGCTACATTGTCATACTTGTCACTCTGCTTTAATTTGGAAACCCAAGATAAATGGTCCAAAAACAGTTGAAAAGAGTGGTGGAGACAAAGTAAATTCAGAAGTAATTATTGGGTGATACAACTTTGGTTTTAAAAGCCAGTGAATTGTAAGATGAGAAGAAATAAGGAGTTGTGCAATTTTAAGGTCTTGGTAGAATTCAAGTTGGATGCTGTCCACTGAGTTCATCTCAAGCATAGAAAAAATCTTAGACACTCAGCCATTTGTGAAGAAAATCATAAAGTTTATAGAGTCACTTACCAATAGTAAAGCAAATTTAGAGGACCCAGAAGAGAGATTGGAGACCAGAAGTGTCTGGAATTGATTGGATTTTAATGTCAAATGAATTTTATGAACAAAGAATGCCAAGAAGTTAAAGTTAAAAAATAGGTAATTAAAAGGGTGATGGGTGTTAATTGTGTACATTCTAAAGCAGGAGCAGCTAGTACTGGGAGTGGAGAGAGAGAGAGAGAGAGAGTTAGAGAATGGCGACTGAATAAGTCAATAAACTCTTCAAGGAGAAGTTTGGTGCCTCCTTCATATTCAAGTTGGGATCCAATTAACATTAAGTGGCATTTTTCTAGTAACTTGCCAAGGAGAAGGAGCGAAGAGTTTGACCTTTACGTACTCTGGGCTCTATAGAGATCAGTGTTGAGGGGGGCATTAGCATGCACGTTAATTTTCTTGATGGTGCGTGATTAAAGAATGTCAGTGGACTGTTGGTGTTTTTCAAAGCGGAATTTGAGGTCTGCAAAATACATAAACATAGAAAATAGGAGTGGACGTAGGCCATTTGGTCCCTCGCAGTCTGTGCCATTCGTTTATAATCATGGCTGATCATTTTACTCAAAAGCCTGCTCCTGTATTTTTCCCTTATCCCTAAGTGCTTTATCCAACTTCTTATTGGAATCATGCAACGTCTTGGCCTTTGCTACTTTTTGTGCTAGCTAGTTCGAAAATAAATAAACTGTCTTTAAAGACCTGAAAAGGATTCTTTAACACGTTGAAAGTTGGGAAGAGATCCAGAAATCGTGATCAGCTGGTCTGCTGTGAGTGGGTTAGAAGTTGAGAACTGAAGGAAATGGTTTTCGTTTGTATTTCTAATATAACTGCAACTATAATGAATTGTTTTCAAAGTTATGTGGCTTATCTGGAGAAAAATAGAAACTTGTAGGGCTTTAAGGAAAGAGCAAGGGAGCAGGATTGACAGGAAATCTCTTGATGAACAGTATGATCACCCTCTAGTGTGTATAATTCTCTGACTAGACTCTGACCATCTTTTTTGCTATGGCATTAGCTGACTGGGTTTTCCATTCTTCAGATTGGTAGGATTTAATAGGAATTTTTATTTGTAGGATATGGTTTGATATCTGCATGAACCTTTCAGAAAGATGATTTCAAATCTGGAAATCGATGTATTATCTGACTCCAGTGCCCAGCCACCAAAAAATGGTGGTGGCACAGTGACTCAGTGATTAGCACTACTGCCTCTCAGTACCAGGGACCCAGGTTCAATTCCAAGCAGGGAAATGCAGGATTAGGAATAGGGTGGGATGCTCTTCAGAGGGTTGGTGTGGACTAGATGGGCAGAATTGCCTGCTTCCACACAGTGGGGATTCTATGAAATACATGCAGAATCCCGGCAATCAGTTGTTTGTGCCCTGTTTCCCTGAGGCAAGCTGCTATGCTTAGAATTAAATATGGTCGCCTTTGGATTAATTAGCATCCTCTAGTTACTGAGACAACAAGGTGCAGAGCTGGATGAACACAGCATCATAGGAGCAAAAAGGCTGATGTTTCGGGCCTAGACCCTTCATCAGAAAATTTTCTGATGAAGGGTCTAGGCCTGAAACGTCAGCCTTTTTGATCCTGTGATGCTGCTTGGCCTGCTGTGTTCATCCAGCTCTGCACCTTGTTGTCTCGGATTCTCCAGCATCTGCAGTTCCTACTATCTCTACTTCCTCTAGTTACTGTTTTATATAGACTCCAGTAGCTCCCACTTTATTGTATAACTTCAGTTTCATCAAGTGGCTGATTTATATCTCTCAAATATGGTGCTTGGGCAATAATGTTAGTCTGCCTCCAAGTCTGTGCCTTTGTCATGTGGCAATGGATATGTTACCTTCTGTAATGTAAGATACTGGATGTGAATATCATTGAATTGAAAAATCCATGAGACATTAATTGCAACTAACTTTTATATACAAACATTACATTCCTCAGGTATTTAAGTATGTGGACTAATATAAGTTACTACTTTACCACAGTTTCCAGAGGAGTGTTATGCTTCAAGTGTTCCGAGGTAAGATGGAGTATGAGATCTTTATACCCTTGGACCACATACTAGGTTTAATGATATTGTCATAAGTATTTCTCTTAAAGATAAACTAACTGAGAGAGGCAACGCAATGGTCAATGATTTAGAAGTGTGTACAGCTGACTTGATCTTGCACCAGTGCAGAAATCCTTGGTGTACCTAGAGCTTTGACTTAAATAAGTCCAAATCCATCGTACAGTCTATCTCTGATTTTTTTTTTTGAACTGGAATGCCGCTTTGTCCCCAGAAAATAACTTTTGATTTCCCTGTTCTCGTAAAGGTGTTGAATCAGGATGCACCAAACCGGGTATCTGGCTTAACTTTAAGAATAAATTTAACAGGTGGAGGTTACTTTGTACGAGCCCACCCAACGCAAAAGAGTTAGATTGACTAATCTTTATCTCAGTTTCCTGAATTTTTGGGTCCAAACTTCTTAATCCTTTTTTAGATCTTGCCATTTGCCTTGCCTCGGTCTTCTTTTGTGTCTGAGAGCCTAATTGGTTTATATTGGTCCAGGATCAACCACTTGAGTCTTAACATGAAGAGACTGTTGTCTTAAGATGTAGTTTGTTGCGTGATAGCAATTGGGTACAAGGTATATTGGTTTGTTGGACATTGTTATTAAGACTAAGGAGAGCTGTGGACATCAGCCTGTACGTCACGATCCTGAGATAGTCTGCCCTTTTTTTTTTAATCCAAGCCTGTATAACATAATCAACTTGTTGGAGCTTAATGCAGTCTCCAGCATTAACTCTTTTAGAATCATTATCTTGTACAACATTGGCCACTTGTGTATTTTACAATGAATTTTTGGACTGTGATGGAGAGTGAGACGCTGATTTACTTTTCCTTCTTGTCTCTTTCCCTCCCAAACCACCCCCCCCCCCCACTGTATACCATGCAAACACGTACACACGTCCTAAGGCAGTGAAATCTACAGAATTCCTATTCATCGGTTTAAGATTGACAGAACATCATAGGAGTTGAGCCTTTCAGGCCTGCAAGTTTCCAATCCACACCAATTTGTGCTCTTACCAACTGAACCATTCTGCTCAAACAAGAAATGGAACCAAACCCTTGATTGCATATGTTCAGCATAACTGTCCAGACAGCATGCACACGGAGGAATTTACGGCATTGGATAAAGAGAAAAAGTGAAGCTTGTTGTAGATACTGAGGATTTGTAACACTGGAATCCATAGAGGTGTGTTTAAAGTGCAGAAAGTTGCTTGAAATTAAGTGAAGAGGAACCATGAAAAAACACTGGTGGGTAAAATAAAGGAAAATCCAGAAGCATTTTTAAGTATGTTTGGGGCAAGAGGATGACCAGGGAAGAGTGGAGCTCATTAAAGCCCAAAGTGACAAATACATACATCCAGCTTAGAAGCTGGAACATGTAGGTGAGGTTTCAAATGAATACTTTTTATCTGGATTCATAAAAGAATGATGAGGGTATAGAAATTGTGGTAGAGGAACTGTGTATTTGAACAAATTAGAATTCAGAGGGAGGAGTTACTAGCAGTTTTAGCAAACGTAAAATTGAATAAATCACCAGGCCCTGATGAGGTGCATGCCAGCTTTGTGTGAGGCAAGAGAGGAGATTGCTGGG